CTCTGAGAAGGAGACAAAGATCCTAAATTCATCTGTATCGTCAACACCCACTGCTCATCCAGCTCCAGACCTGACATTGTCTGGTCACCACCCAAAGAACCCTGCCCATGATCCTTTCCAACACAAGAGGATATGCTGAGCTGTATAATGTGTGTCTGCTCTGTTAATAACCAGGAAAGAGCCTCTTGTTTTCCAGGCCAGGATTCAAGAGCAGCCAAAGAGGAGACAACTACAAATACTTCAATAACACAGCTCAGGAACAGATATTTGAAAAGGAAATGCCTTTTATGCTCCTTTCTTGCCCTATTCAGCATTTCTTTTCTACTTAGAATCACAGAATTCCAGCCTGGTTTGTGTTGGAAAGGACCTTAAAGCTCCTCCAGCCCCAACCCCTGCCCCGGGCAGGGACACCTTCCACTAGAGCAGGTTGCTCCAAGCCCCTGTGTCCAACCTGGCCTTGAACACTGCCAGGGATGGGGCAGCCACAGCTTCTCTGGGCACCCTGTGCCAGCGCCTCAGCACCCTCACAGGGAAGAGCTGCTGCCTCAGAGCTCATCTCAGTCTCCCCTCTGGCAGGTTCAAGCCATTCCCCTTGGCCTGTCCCTACATCCCTTGTCCAAAGCCCCTCTCCAGGTTCCTTTAGACCCCCTGGTTGCACCCTCATCCCCTGGGGGTCGAGAAGCCCAGAGAGGGGCTGGCTCGGTACCCGGGGTGCAGTGTGAAGGGTGCTGCTCGTCTCCAGGGACACGTTCACTCACCTCCAGTGACTTTGTCAATGTCCACGTAGAAGCGCAGCATGGCAGAGCCCAGCATGAAGGCCACCCCCGGCCCGATGACAGTCACCGAGAACAAGATGCCTGAAGAGGGGTGAGAGCAAAGAGGGGCTCAGCCCTGTGTGAACCAGCCATGGGGACACTGAGGCAGGACCAGGATCCAGCGCGGCCCCCTCCAGCACAGGCTGTTCCCCTGGAGCTTTCTTATCTCACACCATCCAAAGGACAACCACCCCACACTTTCCATGTTCCCCTCACAGGGAAGGATTTGCAGAACTCAGACCCTTCCTTCCCCTTTTCTTCAGCTTCCTAGAAAGACTGAAATACACCCAGGAACAAGATGTGCCCCTTGGCATAAGAAAGCAGGAAATTAAATGTTTTCTTAGGAGATTAAGGAGATAAAAGTTATCAGCAAACTCTTGACCGTGAATTACTGATTAAAAAGTCCAACTCAAGCAAGACTAAACTTGTGTCAGATGATCCTTTCAAATGTGGTTCAGAGGTCTGGAGCACCTACTATAGCAAAATCCAGTGCAGTACTTTCAGTTTCTTGACAGTAATAACCTTGTTTTCAGCCACATTTATTGTCCCATTCAGTTGGAAAAGGGCTAGAAAAACCTTCAGTGACCACCTTGCCCATCCCATTGCCCTGGAACGTCCCTTTTAGGCATGTACCCAAGCTGCTCCCCAGCACTCCCTCTGCTGAAGGATATTGCCCACCTCCCAGATGATTGATATTTCTTTTTTAGCTCCCTATGATTTTCCCTATATCTAACCAAAGTCTTCATGGCTGCATCTTAAGCCCATAGATATCGTGAACATAGAGATCAGGTTATTCCTCTTCTCCTTGTTGAAGCCTTTTTAGAGGAGAACATGGTTATGATGTTATTCTCCAGCTCACTCTCAGACCATAAATCCCAGCATATCCCCCAAGTACCCCTCATCTCTCCGCAGTTTGTCCAAGTTTGAAGCTGGTGAACTGTTTCTGCAGGAACTTTCCCAGCGCTGGGTAGAGCAGAAAGGCTACAACAACCTCTGCTCTCATTAACACCAATTAGCACCTAATTACCAACCTGAGTCTGGTTTCCCCTCTTGAGCACAGAATCCCAGCCTGGTTTGGGTTGAAGGGACCTTAAAGCTTCTCCAGCTCCAACCCTCTGCCCCGGGCAGGGACACCTTCCACTAGAGCAGGTTGCTCCAAGCCCCTGTGTCCAACCTGGCCTTGAACACTGCCAGGGATGGGGCAGCCACAGCTTCTCTGGGCACCCTGTGCCAGCGCCTCAGCACCCTCACAGGGAAGAGCTTCTGCCCAAGAGCTCATCTCAATCCCCCCTCTGGCAGGTTCAAGCCATTCCCCTTGTCCTGTCCCTCCATCCCTTGTCCAAAGCCCCTCTCCAGGTTTCCTGGAGCCCCTTTAGGCCCTGGAGCTGCTCTAAGGTGTCCCCTTCAGGAGCCTTCTCTTCTCCAGCTGCCCCAGCCCAGCTCTCTCAGCCTGTTGTCCCACAGCAGCCCCAGCCTTACCCAAATAGAGGGGGGAGTTCCTCTCACTGGCAAAGTCGTCAATGTAGGAGATTCCAAAGGGCTGGATGGGGACACCACCGATGCCCAGCAGCGCCTGGGCGATGAACATGACGAGGAGAACCTCGTGGTTCTCCCTGGCAGCATGGGGGGTGCAGCCGGCATCACTGATGTTCTCTTGGGACCCCTGGACCCTGGGCTGGCAGAGGTCGGTCATGTTGCTGAACATGCCTGTGATGAGAAAGGGAGAAGGTCTGAGGAGCTCAGTCTGGAGAAAGAGCTTCCCTGAGACAGCAGCAAGCACATAGGTATCACAGAAACAGAATCATGGAATGGTTTGGGTTGAAGGGACCTTCAGATCATCCCATTCCAACCCCTGTCCCAGGCAGGGACCCCTTCCACTAGAGCAGGTTGCTCCAAGCCCCTGTGTCCATCCTGCCCTTGAACACTGCCAGGAATGGAAACAAGAACTCATTTTCCTCAGAAATGGATATCAAAGTGAAAGTGCTGATTCCAGCACCCTCATCTTCCTTAAACCCCGGGGGAAGGCGATGGTCACAGCAGCATTGCCATGGTTCTACTCCATCTATATGCAGCCCTGAGTGCTCACGCAGCACCTGCACCAGCACTCCTGCAAAGCAGGGCTGATGGTTTCCAGACTGCCCTGACCCCTGTCTCCAGCCACTGATTAGTCTCCCATTAAGTCTTTGGTGGCTGCAGCTGAGCTCTCTCTGATGAGACACGGAAAATCTGGTTAGTGAAGGCTTCTGAAGGTTTGCTGGAGCTTCACAGCAGGATTTGGGAAGGTAACGAGACAGTGGTTGTCTCCTTCCTTTCTGTTCTCAACCCTTCGCCTCCTTTCAGGTTGAAAATCCCAAATCCACCCTGACAGTTTTTCCATGAGTGATTTGGAGCTGCACGTTTCTCACAAGAGGTTGATTTTCTGATGGGGTCTAGAACCTGAAAACATTCATAGAATCATAGAATTACAGAATGGTTGGGTTGAAGGGACCTCAACGCTCCTCCAGTCCTAACCCCTGGGAGCAAGGCCTTGAACACTGCCAGGGATGGGGCAGCCGCAGCTTCTCTGGGCACCTTGTGCCAGCACCTCAGCACCCTCACAGGGAAGAATTACTTCCATATATACAATCTGAATGTCCCCTGTGTCAGTTTGAACCCAAAGACAGCTCAATTCCCTCAAAGACAGCCCAGCTAGATGGGGGAAGCCGGGTGAGGTGCCCCACAAGCAGAAGTTAGGTGTGAAACCAACACTCCCTCTTGCAAACAACAGCATTTCACCCCCAAAGCTGCCTCTTTGGGCTGAGTCAAGCTCCTTCCCACACCTCTTGTTTCCTTCCAATAAAGGTGACAGAGCTTATGAGACTTTGTGTTATTTAGGTTATGAAAGTAAGAAAGCAGTTCATGTGCAATGAGGACAATGTGGCTCAACTCATGGAAGATGAGAGCCCTGATGGCTGGAGAAGACCTTCCCAGTACCTGGTGTTTGTCTGCTGTGTGGATGTGCAGAAGACAAGGGGAAACAGAGGCACAGGCTATGTTTTGACTGTTTTCCTGCCCTTTCCCATGGTTCCAGCTATCCCTGGCTCTGCTTTCCACCATCCATTGCCTCTTAGGACTGAGATGGTTTCAATCCCAGACAATTCAAATGCCTTGAGGACAAACCTACAGTTTGCAGCTCCCAGCCCCTCGAGGGAAGGTCGTCTCCTTTTTACTGTCCCAAAAGGCATAAAATAAGTTCCTAGAGTACCTACTGGCAATGGACTGGTCATACTTGTAGGGTCCAGTTATGAAGTGGGGTAGAGACATGAGGAACCCGGCCAAGGAGACAAGGATGGCACCGCAGCCGATGAAGCGAGGTCTGTGCACCCGGCTCCCGAAGTAACTTATGAAGACGATCAGCAACGTGTTCCCAACCTGCAGCAGGACACACAGACCGAGGTCTCACAGGGAACAACAGGAGCATGGGGAGGGCGTTCACCAGGAGGCACAAGCTGGTTTTCACCTCATTGAAGGAAGCGAGCAGCCCTGAGGTCTGGCTGGAGAGGCCGTATCGTCTCTCGATGGTGGAGATGGAGCTCTTCAGATAACCAGAGACCAGGAGCTGGGAGAGCTGGAGAAACCCATGGCAGAAAACAAAGAACTGCCAAGACAAAAAGAGAACATCCAGCAGGGTTACTGTGAGCTGCAAATAACAGCGCAGCTCCTACACAAAGGTACGATCACTGAACAGAAACCTTTCACCATGAGCCTTTGAGATATTACCCACCATCAGCGGTCTTCTGAAATGAGGTCAGGGACTAACAGTCCTCTGCCAAAAATGACCACAGGGTCAGTATTTGCCCGGCGGATGCAGTTTCTTCAGCTCAAAGTGGCTTTGGACAAACAGATCATTTCACTTGGGATGCTGCAAGTTTGTGTTGGCTTCAACCCCAAGGTCCATCAGCAGAACTGGGACGTTGCACAACCCTCCTGCTCCTGCCCAGCCCGAGGCAAACAGCCATTCCCAGCACTGGGAGCAGCTCTTCTGGGATGGGAATGAGCCCTTCTTAGCACAGCAACACACAGCTTCTTTAGAGAGCCAGGAGGGGCTCAGGAAGAATAATTTGAACTTTCTGATTTCCTTTCCTTCTTGTGAAGCTCTGGGATCTAAAGGGCACATCTCCTTTGGGAAAATGTGATGGTTCTTTTCCATTTCTAGAAGGAAACCTTGTCAAAGACCATCAGCTCCCAGAAAAACATCTGACCTCATCTCTTCCAGAGTTTGGGATGTGCTGGTGCTCGGCTGCCCAGGCAAACATGTGGCTCAATCTGCCCCACCACTGCCGAGAGCAGCACCCATCTTCCTGCTTCTCACACAAAAGCATTTTGCAAGTGCCAAATGAACTGCCCCAAAAGGGATGGAGACCACGTCCCCTTCACCCACAGCCCTGCAAAGTACTCAGCAAAAGCAAGGAGCTGGTAAGCCATCTCCTTCCCTGCTGCCACATGGCTCTTCACAGCCATCCTTCTAGTCCCCAGATGAGTTAAATCAAACTAACGAACCCAAGCAGTTGCACACCCTGAGGAGATGGGCTGCTCCTGGAGCCCCTTTAGGCACTGGAGCTGCTCTAAGGGCTCCCCAGAGCACAGCAGAGGGGGACAATCCCCTCCCTCGACCTGCTGCTCACGTTCTGGGGGTGCAGCCCTCTCACTGCACTGCAGGACAGGCTGAGTATCCTGGGTCCTTGTAGAGCTGCTGCCCTCAGCCTTGGATACAACCCCAGCGCCAGAGGCACTGCTTTCAGTAGACCTATTCCCAGCCCCTGGCTAGTGCAGGACATTGCTCCGGCTCCCTGTGTTCTGCAGCCAGGTCCCACCAGGCAGCAGCTTTGCCTGGAGGAGCTGCTCAGCCTGGCCTGGATTTCTGTCCGTCTCATTCTGATTCAGGGCTGAGGTGTGGTCACTGCCAAACTGGACATCTCTGCAAGCAGAGGGACAGTTTACAGCACAGAAAGGGAATAAAGGGATGTCAAAGCTCTCTTGGCTCCCTGAGAGCTGGAGCACCAGGATAGAGGTACCACCACCACAAGTGAGGCACCGCTTTGCATGATGCCAGCCAGAACCTTCCCCCCTTCCAGGCTCATGTCACCACCTATGTTTGGACTAGGAAAGTGTCACCAGCCAAAGGAAAGTTTTCCCAGAGCCAGCCTTGCTGAAGCTCCTGCGTTCCTGCAGGACATGCTGCCTCTGCCCAGCCTGTTTCCTCAATACAGGATGGAAATGCTGAAGCCAGATTCCTATTTTACCCAGGCATCCATAACACACAGCCCAATTGGTATCCAAATCCAGGACCTTCGTGACATGATGGTTTACACCAGCTGCCCACCACTGCCCCACATCCAGTTCAGCTCAGGAGGTTAAAACGGGTTGGGAATGGGACTCCGGTGTTTTATTCTCCCCTGTGTGGGCAGATCAAAGCACAGAGAAGGGCTAAATCCCTGCAAAGGACTTGCCGTGGCTTGGTGTCAGCACTGGGCAAGGACCCCAGGTCTGGCCGCAGGAGCTGTTTGCTGTTTGCCATCGGATCACAGCACGGCTGCCAGGGGAAGGAGGAGCAGACTCATGGGTTTCAGATCTGCTGGAGACATCTCTGTGCCTTGGCTGCACACGCGATGCTGGGTTTGTCCTGCAGCAAAAGGCACTTGTTTACATCCCTGTGTCTGCTCAGGACATCTGGCTCTGAACTCGGATGGGCCGGAAAGATGTTTTTCACGCCTGGAAGGAGACACCATCACTGACACCAGCGTGACCCTCGTAAACAGAGAGAGATCCCCCTGAGGACCAACTGCTGCAGAGCATAAGCTCAGCTCTGCCCGAGAGCCACAGGGCACCTCCACGTTGCCAGAAGTCACACGGTCATGCACAACCAACGTGAACTTCTGCCCCAGGAGGTCTCGGCAGGGCTGACAAAGCCTGTTTTCATCTAAACCTTCCCTGTCAGCAGAGCAGAGCTGCTTCATGCTCCCAGCAAGAGGAGGGAGAGGCAGCAGATACCCAGGTTGTTATGAATGAAGGCGACACACTAAAAGGCACATTATATGTGCTTATCAGCTCCAGGAAGCAAACCTCCCAACACAGAACCTCCCTTCCCACCCTCTCAAAGCAGAGGCTGTGGATCCTGTCCACATTACAAACCTAATGCAGGCTTGGGAGAGGAATGTGACACGAAGAGCACTGATTCAGGTCTCCTCCAGCTCTAATGCAAGTTAGTTTTGGCTTAAGTCCCAAAGGTTGAGACTATACTTGTAAATGTAACAGGCCAGGGTCCATTCTCTGATGCTGAGTTTGGTGGGAAGAGAACAGCCTGCACCCATCCTACCAGACTCACTGAGCCTTCAAAACAGGGTGGTTTCACCCAAAATACTTGCTAGTAACAGCCCTGCCCTTGGGATCACAGAACTATAGATTGGTTTGGGTTGAAGGGACCTTAAAGCTCATCTAGTTTTAACTTCTTCCTAAGAGCTCACCTCAATCTCCCCTCTGGCAGGTTAAAGCCATTCCCCTTGGCCTGTCCCTGCAGGCCCTTGTCCAAAGTCCCTCTCCAGGTTTCTTTTAGGTCCCCTTTAAGTACTGGAAGCTGCTCTGAAGTGCCCAGAAATGTGACCACACCATGACACTCATCACCAGAGGGTTTTGGTTTCCTCCCAGCAAGCTGCTTGCAGCTCTGGTCATCCAGACCAAACCCCTGCACTGGAAGGAGGATCCTGCACTTCCTGCAGCCCACAGAGCTCCCAAAACCTGTTTGTCCCCAGTCAGCTTGGGTTTGGGGGATGCCATCCACGCCACAGGTCCTGGGGAATAAGCAATAGGGATGAGCAATATAGGGATGAGCAAAACCCAGGGTCAATGCAAGGGTATGAGGACACTGTTGGTGGAGAACACCCCAAGGGGATTGAAGCAGCTTAAGGAAACTGGAGGTAGACCACAGGGGTCACAGGAGCTCGTGGGATGGTTAAAGACAGCCCAGCAGGAGCTCTCAGGCATGCACCAAGTCCCATGGAGGGAGCAGGGGTGATGAAAGAGCTGCAAAGACATCCGAGCACAGTGCGAAAAGCAGGATGAAAGGAAGGGAAGGAAACCCCCCGGGGCTGCTCAGCAGAGCTGCTGAAGATCAAGCCATTGATAGCAGGTTCTAATTAAACACTTCCACCTCTTTCCTTCAGCATTTGCCTTTTATACAATGAGTGCTAATAACCCAGCACATGAGAGGTGCCAACATCTAACACTCTGCACTGCGTGTGTTGCAAGCAAAGACCAAGAGATCCGTAAGAAACCTGGATACCCAGATGGCAACTGCACCAGGTGCTGAACAAAGGGGTTTAGACACAGAAGCCCAGAGAACATTTATAAAGTCAAAATCAAGATGGATGGTTGAGAAGGAAGAACCAAAGAGGAATGTGAAGACCATGGCCTGCCTTTTCTCCACTTTTGCAGCAATTTCAAGTCAACTAGTTCTAGCAAAACAACATAGGAAAACTCTGCTTTTTTGCAGGATCTGCCAGAGTTTGTGTGTTTCCAGTTTCTCCACGGTGGTGATTCACTTTCCTAAGGTAGCAAAATGGAAGGTCTTGCAGTTAAAGCTCTGCAAGTCTCCCTCTTGCTCCTCAGGGAGTCATTGTGGACAACCACCCTCACCACAGGGTGGGAAATACTTTCATGGAGAGAAGCAGAGAGCTGGTAATTGCTAGTGTGTGATTCCCAGTTTGCCCTTTTGCAGCTGGGATGGTGGTGGTGGGTGGTCGAGCCCCAGCAGTGTGTCTGTCACAGGGTTCCTATAGGACCTCCCATGGTATTTGGGCCAGGGCTGACCACACATAGTCTCAGACGCCACCCTCTGCCTTTCCCAGCAGGATATGGGAGACAGCCCATGGCACATGGTGGGCAGATCCTCTCTATCACCTTTCTGTGCCATCTAGTGGCTTCTCCCAAGGACCTGAGGCTGGGGTCCCTCCATGCCTGGACATGGACTGGTGGGATCAGCCGGCCTGGGGCTGATGGGCTGCCCCAGGAGAGGGTCTGAAAGTGACCTGGGTCTGCAGACACCAACCCTTTCCCAAGACCTGGGTCCTGACCACAGATTGCACCCACAGAAAGCCAGGAGCAGCCCCAAGCCCAGGTCTTTCCCACGAAGGGCTACGCCATGCTCATAACACCTCCCCTCTACATGGGTAGAATTGAAGCAACTCAGAGAATCCAAACAAGGGCTGGCGTAGGCTGAGGAGGAAGGAAGGGAGAGGTTTATTAATGGCTTACTCCAGTAAACATCTGGAGGTGTTTTTATAAGAGCCTGCTCAGGCTCCGTGTTGAGATAACACCCTCCACAGCAACTAGACCAGGGGCAGAGGGTGCTCGGTTCTGATGTGCCTCTGTCAAAAACAACCCCCTTGCAGTGCCAGGAGAGCAACTTTCCTCTGGGGATGTGCCATCACCACCTCCCACCATAGAGAGGGCATCTTAGAATCATAGAATCATAGAATA